CCCCCCCCTCCTCTCTCTCTTTCCACACACATCTGTCTGCAGTAGATGTCTATGTAACATACACAAACGCAGACAGACCATGGCAAGATTAAATAAACATTTACAGTCATACATTGTCACGATGAGTATCATGAGGACTGCAGAAGAAATCATCCCAATAAACGAACTTTGAACCATGCAGTATAAAAAAATGGTCTTACAGGAACATAATGAATTAAATTTGACGACCATCATTAAAATGGAGAATCAAATTACCGAAATAACCAAGATACACGCAGGGAGCCCACTCTCTTGTAAAGTTGGGCATTTCATAATTAAATCATGAAGGAATTTTACTACTTTTTTCTTTTTAAACAGCTTTCATCCTGCCTATAAACAGCAGTCATTGTGTGTACAAACACCTGTCATCCTGTCGATAAACAGCAGTCATTTTGTGTACAAACAGCTGTCATCCTGCCTATAAACAGCAGTCATTGTGTGTACAAACAGCTGTCATCCTGTCTGTGTTCTTTTCCTTACTCAAACTCATACACAATTCTTCTCATTGTTTTAGTAGAGGTTTTATGGTGCTCGCAACTACATAAGGTCATATGAGCGACAAGGGGTGGATGTCAACAGAGAAGTCCTTACAGGGAATCAGGCTTACTCTGCTCACCTCTCTAGCTTCAACAGCACAAAGTCTGCTTCGACTATCAAGGCACCCCGGAAATAGCGGGTCACAGGAGTGTGACAAAGACACAAAAGACGTAGAGGAAAATGACGATAGTAAGGATTAGGAAAGAAAAAGTAGCCGTCACCTGTGGTAGTTCAGGCATAGTTATGAGCATGACATTGATGAATCAGCCCATTTACCATTACAATTCTACAGTGGATAAGAACATGGTTAATGTCCCCCTTTTGGGAATGGCCCAAAGACACTTCAGTCAGCAGCTCCGCCCCTGGGGTGGGGGTGATTCTTCTCAGACCTCGACAAAACCGTAATCTTGTATTATAAAATCCTAGACCGTGCACTCTACTGAAGGAGAGATACCAGTCTCACCCTCCAACCACCCTCTTGACAGAGGAAAAACAATGAAGGGAAAGAACAGAAGAAGGAAAGCTTCCAGAGGTACCCTCCAACCACCCACTCGACAGAGAAAAAACTTTACTTTTACTTTCACTTTTATCCTCCGCTTATACCCTTTTGGGTGTCGCAGGAAGAAAGAAACGTCTCTCTGCCACCAGCCGGAGAACTTGGGTCAGGGGGATAGAGAAAAAAAAATGAAGGGAAAGAACAGAAAGAAGAGAGCTACTGCTGGCACCCTCCAACAACCCACTAGGAAGGGAAAACACTTAAGGGAAGGAACAGAAGACGGAGCGAGTTCACAGGGGCACCCACCAACCACCCACTCGACAGAAAGAAACAATGAAGGGGAAAAAATGAAAGAAGAGAGAGCTACAAGAGAAACCCTCCAACCACCTGCTAAAAGGAGAAAAACAATGAAACGAAAAAAAGAAAAAAAAAACAGAGGGAGGGAGAGAAAGGGCTCCCAGAGGCACCCTCCAACCACCCACTATCTCACCTGTAGGTTGGACTCTGGCTGTGGGTACTTTGCCAACATCTCATTCACCTGGCTGCTGGGTCTGAACCGAGAACCTTTCATGGGCATACCCTTGGCTGCTAACTCTCGGATCTGCTGCTGGGATGCCTGTGGAAAAAACAAAAAATTCCATGTCCTATTTGTAAGAACAACTAACATTTATAATGAAAGACGATTGTGGGAGGACACTTGGGGGGGGGTTTCGGTTTGGTAAGTGTTTTACGGCGCTTGCAACTGCATAAGGTCATATGAGCGCGCGGGACACACCTAACATTTTCATTCGGAAGGAAATTTTGAACTTTGCTCCGGAGGCAGTCGAAGCCTAGTCTTATCGATTTTGGACCACCAAGGGATCTTTAACGTGCGCAGCTTGCACACGGGACCTCCAAGATTTTTCACTCTTGTCTGAGAAGGCTAGGTGTAGATCTTTCCTACCAGAAGAACAGGGGTATGGCTGAAAGACAGCAGAAAATAGGAGCCAAGGAGAAGCAGTGGAAAGGTTGCAGAAAGAGGGATGACACTGACACAATGCTCATCTAACCAACACCCGTTAACCCCTTTCACCACCATGCCGTGAAAGGATGTTTTAGCCAACCTGCAGTGAAGGGGTTAAACAGATGGTATGTATGAGCATTTTTTCACAAGCGGTAAACACGTTTTAAATGTTTTGAGTAAAGAGACACACATTGACAGGATGACGGCCATTTGATACTGAGAAAAAGAATCAGTCCTATTGTGCTAAAATGGTAGGGTTTTTTTTTAAAGGAAGTGTTTTACGGCACTTGCAACACAATAAGGTCATATAAGTGCCGATTAGCTTTTGCCTCTCCAAGAAGAAAAAACTGGCCGTCCCCAACTGGTTCAAAATGAATCAAATTGGCAGTGTGTAGCGGGTATAAGGACGGAACGGGACCACAAAAAGTGGGTAAAAAGTCAACTGGTCTTTCAAGAGCAGAGCTAAACGTGGTTATGCATAATAAGGGAAACAACTGGCATTTACAGACTATACTGATAAACTACACTGTTACTTCCCTTGATATGACGAGACTGGAGAAGGCATAAATTTTAACTAGTTTTCTATTTTTCAATGAAAATGTCTTTCTTATTACCAACGGTATTGTACACGTTTTGTAAGACTTACAGTATTTATCATGAACTGAATATGGGTGGTTGGCGGGAGACGGCAAGGATTTGGGGGGAGGGGGAGGGGTGGAAATTGTCTTACTCTCTTACAAGACACAAATCATTTATTGTAAGTTGTAAGGATAGGGCACTTGGATAAGTGGAGAAAGAGAGAGAGAGAGAGTGAGAGAGAGAGAGAGAGAGAGA